CTTTATTTACAGCAATCTGTCGCCTTTGAGGGACATTCAGCAGTATGTTTGTTGGTGCTATCGCTGGCATGCTCGGTATGTGACCTGTGTCACATCCTCATTATTAAACAGTAACTGGGTTTACTGTGTTTGTGTTTATATTAAATCTTGTGGTATATTGCGCTTTAAGCGTCGCGCTTTGTTGTGGTTTGCCATGAGTGGCCGGGCCAGAATATTTGGATGACGTTCGATGCGCTCTTTATAAGTTCTAGTATGGCGTAGGATTTCCTGTTTCACAGTAGGCAGGTGTAGATCATGATGTAGTAATTCATTGGGCACATATCAGGGGGCATTGGTTATCATGCTTTATTTTGAAACCTTTGTAATATTTCTCACATGATCTGCCTGTGGAACTACAATGTTGTTAAGTGTGACTGGGGGGCAAGAGCCCCTTCTTAGGGTGAACGTTACGTTGACTGATTTGGTTTCATTTGCTTTTATCCGCCACTTTTTGAGCCAGTGGGATATGTCATTTAGCCCTTTTTGAAGCATTTGTGACGCTATTTTTGGGTCGCTATGAGTAGCCAGTATAGCGGTGTCGTCAGCAAAGGTTCCAGTGATTAATGATTCGGATGTCGGCAGGTCTGCAGTGAAAAGTAAATAGAGTATGGGACCCAGTACACTGCCCTGCGGGACTCCTGATTTTATAGGGCAGAGATCTGACAGAGCTTCCCCTTGTTGTACTATGAAATGGCGCTGCTGGAGAAATGATTTTAATATCCCATAAAGGTGATCTGGTAGTGCATTTTTCAATTTAAATAACAAATAAATAAAATAAATAAATAATTATAATTGCATAAGTTGATAAAAAATGCTATGCAATAGCTTTACCGCGGCAGTCACCGAGTGCCACACGTATTTTATTATTTATGTGTTGCTATTAGACCTCTTGCAGCTTATGCTTTCTTTTCTATTCTGTGCTTTTCAGTGCCAGTATTTTTCGAAATTCAAGTTTGTCCCGCCATCTCCTTTTTGGTTGCCCTTTTTTCCTTTTTTTTGTCCATTGGGATCCACTCTGTAATTGTTTTACTCCATCTATCATTTAGTAGTCCGCAGATATGTCCATCCCATGCCCATTTGCTTTTTTAATCTTTGTTATGCTATCTTTCACCCCTGTCCTGTTCCGGAGCTCTGTAATCCCGATTCGCATCGCTTAAGCATTGATCTTTCCATTGCACTTTGAGTTAATTTTAGTTTATTTATTTGAGCTTTACTAATACTCCATGTTTATGATCCATAGGTTAAGGTAGGTAGGATGGTGGTGTTAAATGTCGTACTCATAGGTCACTCTTCATAATAAATTTTAGGCTCCTACATTTTTTCAATAATTGCTTGCTTTTCTCCACTTTAAAATTCCCTGAGCATTATTTCTTCTAAGACATCCGGTGTCTCAGCAAAGATAATGACATCATCTGCAAATCTCAGAATGTTTAGGTATCTTCCATATACTTATAAGCCTTTATTTGACCAAGATGTACTTCTGAAAATTTTCTTCAGAACTGCATTGAAGAGAATTAGTGAAATCGGGTCACCCAGTTTGACACCGTTTTGCAATGGAAATAGTTCCCCCATTTTGTCTTTTTATTATTGCCTTGCTGTTTCTATAAATATGTTATAGAATATTTATATGTTTTTGGTCAGCACCTTATTCTTCATGTGTTTTGAACAAGAAATTATGGTAAATTGAGCTTTTACTCAAATTATTATTGCTTTGGTAAAGTCAATAAAAGCCAGATATACTGTGTGGCCATATTACATACATTTCTATATAATTTGAGTGACAGAGTATACGATCAATTGTGCTGAATGTTGGTTTGAATCCTGCTTGTTCCACAGATTGCTGTTCATCTAAAGTTTTCTCTATTCTTCTTCGCAAGACTATCATAAACAGTTTGTACAAGCCCAAGGATAGTTTCTTTTGGATGCTGTGTTTCGTATGGTGAGAAGAGAACTGGAGACTATTTTTACTGGAAATAAGACATTCCATCTTAGTCCTCAGGGATGATAATGCATCTGCATTTTGATTTTAATTGAGGATAAATGAAGATGTCTATGAGCCACAGTCTTACCATCAGGTCGATTGTGTGGTTGTTTGTTACACTTATTTTATAGAAAAAATAGATTTATGGTAAGAGTATGCATGGCAATCTTATGCATTACCAGACTTAATTTTACTAGGAGCAGTGAAGATTGTGGTCAGTTGATTCAGTTAGTTGCTCCTCACAACATCTGTGGAATCTGTGATCATTGTACCAAATGTCTCGCACTGAACAACTTGTTGTAAGAACTTATAGGTCTTTTTCTACATCACCAAATAGTAGTTGAATCTGCGTAGTTATTTACTATATTCGGCCATCTCTTACATAAGTAGAGTATACAGTATAGGGTGGTTTAGGATATAGATATAGTTAGAGAGCCAGTATAATTACGGACTGTGCGGCAACTTTTGGCCTCCGAGGTGAAAAGCAACTGCACCTTTTTTGTAGATGATGAGCTCAAATTTGAAAAACATATTTCTGAGGTTGCAAGAAATTTCTTTTACCGGTAAAAGTTCTTTATCAAATTAGAGATTCGCTAAGTGCGAATATTAGTATCTTGCTGATTATTTCTCTGGTGAAATATGATTACAAGTATGTTTTGTACAGCCCTTGCTTACTTATTTGAACAAAAACATTATTCAGTGGGTTAAACTCATGTCACACCTTTTCTTAATATTGTTAATATGATAAAAATGAAAGGTAAACGCAACCTGCACTTTGCTTGTTTAATATTTAATATATTAAAATATTGTACACAACCCGATCATGCAAATAAACTTATTAACTCCTGTGATATGTAGGAATATCAAATAAGGTTGGCTAAGTGGTCTCTAATAGTTCTAAGCAATCATAATTAGTTATTTTGGGTTAGTTTTATATATGTAGCTTCAAAATGCTGGAACAGTAGATCACCCCCTTTGTATAGATTATTGGGTTTGTTTTTTGCAAAAAAATATTAAACTCATGTTCTCAATTTACACAAGTGGTAAAATAAAAAAAATTGTACAACCGACTTCAATATAAATAAAATCAGATCATCATAAATGTGGTCAAAGTAAATTATAATAAGAATAGAAGAGAAATAGAAATATAAATAGAATAGAAGAGAATAACTCAAAAACTATTGGTCAAATCGGGATGAAATTTATATGAGAAGCACAAGCTTCTCTTCATTCTCGAATCTGTAATTAATTACAAAGAGGAGAAGTTATGCATTTAGTTACAATATAAAAAGTTACCAGATCAATCACATTGAGAAGAGAGTGAAAATAGAAAATAGAATAAAAAAACCTGTAGCACAGAATAAATAATAGTACTACGTACAGAAGTTTCACTCTTTTAATATTGACTGCTTCATCATTACAGCCCTTCACAAGTCCACTGCTGAACATAGGCCTATGTTCATTGACTGCTTGCCGACGTTTAATAGCCTACATAATTATTATTAATTAGATAAATCGCGCTCGCAAGCTAAATAAAACTTTATCGTTGCGCGAGAGTGTCCGTATTACTTTGCACATTTTCCTCTTCCTACGTTACGGTGGACTTTCCGTTGTTATGGAGAGATGTCAATAAAGAGTAACAATATACATTGCGAAATATTAATTAGGTTACTTAGGTGAAATACCTATTCTGACTATGATCGACAGACCATATTTTCGCATCTACGTGAGTTCTGTGATGCCTAACGCATGCAACTTGCAAGGCCATTCGTCGGGAATCGCGACGCTTGGCTCGGAAGGAAAAGGTAGATAGTGTAAACAACAAATAAACTTGAAATACGATTCCTAACAGAAATGTAATCGTATTCTATTTCCTTAAAAATTTTGTTGGTAAACAAAGTTTTGATTTCAGTATTTTGTGTTATTTTAGCTTAAAATATTGAAGTATACGCTTAAAATATTTTAATACAAAAGGTATATGTATGTAAGTAGATACTTGGATATTGAAGTAAATTTCCACAAAATTTTGTAATAAAGTTCGTAGATATTAAATGAATTATTACTTAATTCTTTTTTTGCTATAAGTACCTATCTAACAATAAAAATTAAATAAATGCACGTTTCGTAACTTCCTACTAAAATCCTTAGGTAATAAAGAATGATATATGTGAAATATTTTGTTGGTCATTTAGCGTCTATCCACGCAACAATTATAGTAGGAACGACGTTTTGCCATTGAAATAATACTAGTTTTTACGGAATTTATATATAATATAAATATAAGAAATCATGACGTTTTGCCATATTAAAATTTATTAAATAATGGGTAATATACATAATATATAGTTCTTAAATTGCATTAAAACTTTTGAACTATTTTATCCTATAATTAAATATACTAAACACTAAACAAAAACTATTTCAACAATATTTACAAAAAGTTATATATACGTAAACAGCGTTAAAAAACTTCTAAGATTTAATCGTCTCTAATGCGCTAGCCCTGACTGCGTTATTTCGCCCGGGCGCGTCGTGATTTTAGGTAATTATTTACTGTAGGTAGCAAGAGTGATAGAGGCCTGCCTGTAGGTTGAACAAAGTAAGTACTGCTGGATAATTATCATTTCCACTCTCAATAATAGAAAAATTTCGCTGTATCAGCTTTCTGTCGTCGGTTTTGTTCAATAACTGGTATAAATATAAAAAAAATATACACCGCCATTTTGGAAACCACAAGGCCTTCTGGGTCTGTTTCTCCTTTTAATTCGCCTTATGTGAATTCCACATTGGGTGATACTTCTCTCATATGCCCCTGCCACAAGCCGAATATGACATACATTCTAAATGCTTAAAACACAATGTACACATTTATAATATCAGTATCAGAATAATAAATTAGTTTTGTTAGGAAATTAAATAAGAAAAGTATTTTCTTTTTTTATGTTTTTATTTTTTAAATAGCTTAAACTAGTAAGTATTTTTAGTGAGTTGTAGTTTTTATTAAGATATCAAAAGCTTCATCTACAGCTGACGTAATATCCTTGCCGGGTTGATTGTTGACACTCAGCCAAATAGAACCGTTGGTGCCTTCTTTGAACATCTTTACCACTGCGGCCACTGCTGATTCTTTCCTTTAAAGTTTATAGAAAAAAAGAGATTGTAATAAGTAAAATTGAAAAAGAGTGAAATCTACATGTTCTATAAAATAATAGCTTTTTTACACGACTATAAGAATATCAAGAGTTTAAAAAAATTTATGTTTATAGTAGAAATGTTTCTGTTACTATCAATTACCTATCTACACGAGAGGGCAATAAATAATTAAGAAAATAATGATTTCTTAAATTTACGCGAACACTACACATTGAATAAAACTAAATTTACGGATTCTAGCGCGTTTATTTAACTGATTTTACTTATTTTTAATTCCCGACGTTTCGGGTGCTTTACAGCAACCATGGTCACGGGGGGGGGAGGACTGAGATGTTTGACGTCCCAATGACCGACGCTCCGGGAAGTCTGCAGTCTGTGAACATGTTCAAGATCGTCCCCACCATTACATCAGATTTGATAAACCACAAATCCTCGCAAAAGAACACCGATTCCTACCAAGGATAATACGCGAGGCTATTGAAATTAAAAAAAAAATCCTAATTTCAATAGAGAAGATGGTTGGGTGCTGCCATCTGCTTGGGATCCTATAATTAACAAAAATAAAACCAAACCCAAGCATACAACTGCAAGACTTCAAGATACTGTAACTTCGTTTTGCGTAAATCGGACCAAAAATTAACATTCAAAAACTGAAGGTAGCCGGGCTAACAATGACATTGGGACGTCAAACATCTCAGTCCCTCCCGTAACCATGGTTGCTGTAAAGCACCCGAAACGTCGGGAATTAAAAATAAGTAAAATCAGTTAAATAATGTTTTTTTTTTTGTTTTGTAATTTTTAACCTTGCGTTTGTGTGTCCCCTTTCTACTGTAAATTTTTTTACATCTTATTGTTACATTATTTATTGCAATATTATACTCTTATGTATTTATATTTTGTAAAATCCAAAAGAAAAAGGATAAAATAAAATGCCCGTGCTAATATTCTTTCTTATTCAACACCTGGTACTAAGCTTATCGTAGATGCAGACAAATGTAGCCAAGAATTTTAAACACTACAATTAAAGTACCAATTGTTAATATAAATTATAATTACTTTTGACAGGTTAATGTGTTAACTAACTGCTCCAGTATCTCCCCCTTTTTGTTGTCACTACCCCTTTCAGTTAGCCCAACCATGAGGGCAGTGTCTGTAGGCCCAGGGCAAATCGTCAAGCATCTTACACCAGTCTCCTCATAGAAGTTTCCACTCTGTAAATACACGACGAACGAACTGTGATTCCAAAATATTGTTTGATACACTAGTACTAATAATATTAGAACCTTTGAGAAGTCTGAAGATTTGTTCAATAATTCACCATCATTTAGATCTTTGGTATGAGGCGTTTCTCTATCAATTTTGTTACCAAGTTTTGTTGATGTCCGTTACCAAGTTACCTTGGTTTTACTTTGGATGTCTTTGTTACGGATTTATACAGAAAAACATCGAGCTGCGTTTTCCATAGCTCGTGGGGCGAAGTCCAACTTTCTCATACGGACGGCATTGATAAACCGTGTCTCTTTTCCATGGTTCATCTTTGCGCTCGTACACATTGTTGGGGTATAATGGATGAGAACAAACTCAAACGCTGCTCAGTCGAGTTGGATTAGTCGATTGACCTTTCAGTCAGTTGGACTTACGTAGTCGGTGTCTTAGGCAAATATCTTTGAGCATAGTGTTCCTAGCAACTGCTGGCGTAATAATTAATACACTCACACAACGTATTCTTAACTGGTTTTTATATGTGCTAGAGCCACGCTGCAGATATATTATAGTTGTAGCATGAATGGGTCGGCTAGACCGGGGTAGGACCACGCTCTCATAGAATATCAGTGTAAAATAGCCGCTTAATGCTGCTGTTTCGTATATTGAGTGTAGAGAACCGGAGACACTTTTTACTGGAAACGAGGCATACCATCTTAGTCCACAGGGGTGACTGATAAATGTAGATGTTTATGGGCCAATGCCATATACTATAAAAAAATAGTAATTTCCGTCTGAATATCCTAGGACTACTCATACAACACTAACAAAAGACGACATTAATATAAAAGAGACATGAAGAGGATGATTGAGAATAATAAATGAATAGATCCAGTTTTCGTCATTTAAATCGTTACAGCCCATCCGAAGGAGGCAACACATTTTTGACTGTTGATTTACAACCTTGATAAAAAACTTACTGTTATGACAACTCTCCTGTAGATTTATTTGTTTGGAGTGGGCTGCAGGTATCCATGGCTCACCATCAAGTGTTTTAAAAATTTTGTGCAATTCATCTTAGACGGTTTTAAAGTGGGACAATTTTCACGTCACGGGTAAATTGTGGAGTGGTGGGCTAGGGTGGTATGGGGCATATTATGCAAAGGAAAGTAAACCATATAATAATAATGAAACTAGATTTTACGGATTCTATTGCGCTTTATTACCTTATTTTATATTCCCGACGTTTCGAGAACTTTGCAGCACCCACTTTACACAGGTCACGGGGTACGGGCGTATTCGACGTTATAATACACACACATATATATATATATATATATATATATATATATATATATATATATATATATATATATACGTCCGTTCTGCGATCAACGCAGAACGAGCTTATAGTGACTTACTGTAGTCTGTGAACACGTCACTACATCAGATATCCGTCGACGCCCCTTTAGGCTCCTCGGACCATTGTCTTGTTCGGAGTGTGGTGCCACTCACGCTGAAATCGCAGTTGCATTTGCAGGCTGCCGCCGTGTTTGGCCGTAGGTCAGCCGATTGGGATGGGATGCGGTCTTTCTTTGCATCCTACCCTTGGGGGCGGGTTTGCTTCTCGCCGGACGATCCCAACGTTGTTGCGGATTCTGTCGCTGATGTGGTACTTCAGGGTATGGAACTTTTTATTCCTTCCTCTGTGCTGCCCGTTGGAGGCAAATCTCAGCCATGGTTTGGTCGCTCCTGTAAAATAGCATCACGCTATAAGCAGGAGTGCTACCAAGCCTGGGCTGACGCATCAGCGTCCCGGGATGTAAACACCATCGCTCTAAAAAGAAGTATAATTCCGCCTCTAGGTCCTTCAAAAGGGTCATTGCCAAGGCAAAGTCGCCTAAACTAAAGAAACTAGTTCGCCTTCCTTCTGGAACCCGTGCATTCTGGTCTCTCGCCAAGGCTGTCCAGGGGAATTTCTGTCAGCCATCTCTTCCATCTCTGCACAGGGAGGACGACTCACTGGCCCATACCGCAAAGGAGAAAGCCGATCTTCTAGGCTCTTTCTTTGCGTCCAACTCGACTCTCGACGACGGGGGGAGTACGCCGCCGACCATCCCGCGGTGTGAGTGCTCCATGCCGGAAGTGCAGTTCAGACAGCGCTCGGTTCGCAAAGCACTCCTCTTCCTGGACATCCACAAGTCGAGTGGGCCTGACGGAATCCCCCCAATGGTGCTGAAGACGTGTGCTCCAGAGTTGGCACCGGTTTTAACGCGTCTTTTCCGGTACTCCTACTCCCTAGGCGTAGTCCCAAAATCATGGAAGTCGGCTTTCGTCCACCCGATCCCTAAAAAAAGGCGACCGCTCAGACCCGTCCAACTACCGGCCTATCGCCATCACCTCCTTGTTCTTCAAAACAATGGAGTCCATTGTAAACTGCCAGCTCATGAGGTACCTTGAGGATCACCAGCTGATTAGTGACCGCCAATACGGTTTTCGCCGTGGTCGGTCAGCTGGTGATCTTCTGGTCTACCTAACTCACAGATGGGCGGAGGCAGTAGAGTCCAAGGGGGAGGCATTGGCCGTTAGTTTGGACATTGCGAAGGCCTTCGATCGGGTTAGGCACAAAGCGAAGCTTCCTTCCTATGGGCTTCGCGAGAAATTGTGCGATTGGATCACCAGCTTTCTTGCAGATCGGAGCATCAAGTTCGTTGTAGGCGGTGCAAGCTCCGATTGCAAGCCTATTAATGCTGGTGTTTCACAAGGCTGCGTGCCATCGCCAACGCTGTTTCTTGTGCATATCAATGATATGTTGCAAACCCGTAACATTCATTGCTATGCAGATGACAGCACTGGTGATGCTCTTTACACCGGCCGAGCCAATATTTCGGGAAAATAGCCGGGAATTTTTTCCCTATCGATCCGCATATCGGTGTGAGTTTGGTACTTGGAAGAGAAGGCCAAATTGGCCTCTAAAAAGCTGGCGTGTAGAGCGGAACAGTATTTTGGGCATACCGCCTGCAATTTTACACGGCGCAGGTTCGGCCGCACATGGAATACTGTTCCCATCTCTGGGCTGGGGCTCCCCAGTACCAGCTCCTTCCACTTGACCACATCCAGCGCAGAGCGGCTCGAATCGTCGACGACCGAGTGCTTTCCGATCGGCTCGATTCACTGGCACTGCGAAGAGTGTTGCATCTCTTTGCATTTTCTTTCGCATATACCATGGAGAGTGCTCTGAGGAATTGTTCGGATTAATCCCACCCGCCAAATTTCGTGAACGCACTACGCGGCAAACGTCCCGATACCATCCACACCATCTGAATGCTTGGCGGTCCCCCAGTGTACGTTTCAAGAGGAGTTTTCTTCCGCGTACAACCTCTCTGTGGAATAGTTTACCACCAGCGATTTTTCCGGACCGATACGACCCGGGGACCTTCAAGAAAAGAGCGTACTCCTTTTTAAAGGGCCGGCAACGCACCTGCAATTCCCCTGGTGTTGCGGTTGATCATTGGCGGCGGTAGTCACTTAACATCAGGTGAGCCGCATGCTCGTTTGCTCCCTCTTCTATAAAAAAAAATTAATAGGCCGCAAATCCTCGCAAAAGAATACCAATTCCTTCCAAGGACGATTTGCGATACTATTAAAATAAAAAGTACTCCATAATTTCTATAGAGAAGATAGCTGGGTGCTACCATCTGCTGGTCCTTCAGTTAATAAAATAAATCCCAACTCAAACATACAACTGCAACCGCAACACTTCAAGATACCACAATAAAATCGTCCGGCGTAGACCGGAACAAAAATTAACTATTTAAACTGAAGAAAACCGTGGTTAACTATGTCATTCGGATGTCGAACACCTCAGTACCGATAGAAGCCGTAAAAACTAGTTTCATTCAATGTGTAGTCGCGTATACATGAGCAACCATGAAGAAGATTGCTGACTATGAAAGTGGATGGATAATATAAGAGTAAAAGGAGGCCTAAGAAAAAAAATGGATAGTCTGTGTCAGGGATGATATGCTTATGAAAGATGTGAGTGAGGATATGACGACTAATAGACAATAATGTGAGAAGACGTTTTATAACGGAGAAGAATCATAGATGGAACAATCATATTAGCTTTACTTACTGCGATGCATTGAGTGAAGTGCAACACTGCCATTTTGGTGCCGCAGTAAATTGGTAAAGCGTCTGTTTTTATTAAGGCAGCCGTGGACGCGACGTTGATAATTGTACCACCAGCGCCGCCTTCGTCCTTCCTCATGTGTTTTATTGCTCTTGACGTAAATGAGACGAGCCCTTGCTGAAACGGAAGTCCTCGTTACCTTAATGTTTCGGCCGTAATGGTGAAAGGCAGAAATCAGTAGTAGTAGTAGGTAGTGCAAAGATGTTAACATAGTGGTACGTCCTCATGTTTGACTTATAATTGTCATGCAAATTTAAAAGTAGTTACATTTAAAAGAAGTTACATTTAAAAGTAGTTACATTTTAGTCTACTTAGAGCTAAAAATATGTTATTAGACTAAACGGAAAAATAATGGTAAACATGAGTTACAGACAGAACATTTACATGTCATCATTTATAAATTATATAATATTTTATGTCAAATTATTCAAGTCATAAAATAAAGTAAACATAGAAAAGCTACAAATACAGTTAAAATTTAAAAAACCTCTTGGTCATCTAAGTATTCTTGGACTGAATAAAAGCACTTAGTTCAAAAGCCAGGAATGTAACTTTCTTTTAAACAATGGTAACGGCAGAGCTTTGAAACTTGGATGAAGCTTATTATAAACTTTAATAGCCATACAATAACAGCTTCGTCTGTATAGTTGAAGTCTTATTCTAGGTTGCATGATCCTTTCTCGATGTCTGGTAGGTTTATTTTTGTTTTGCTCTCTAGTGACAAAATAATTAGAATGTTGTCGTACAAAAATACACATTTGTTTTATATACAGGCACGGTAGCGGTAGGATTCCAAGTTTATTGAAAAGGGGTTTACAGTTTTCAAGAAAATGTACTCTGCAAATAGCCCTAATACATTTCTTTTGGGCTATGAAAGCTCCGTTTACATCCGCTGAACCTCCCCACAATATAATGCCGTAACTTAATAATGATGACACATAGCCATGGTAGGCCGATAGAGCAGTTTCAATGGTTGATACATTACTGAGTCGTCGTAGCGCGTATACAAATTTATTTTCGTACATAGATTGTCTATAATATGTGCTTTCCAGTCACAGTGTTTATCTAAAGTAAATCCAAGAAATTTAGTTTCATTAACAATTTCAACAATATTACCGCAATAATCGACAAGCACATCCATTGACCTTGTTCTGTAAGTAGTAAACTGGATACCCTTTGTTTTTTGAATGTTTATTTTGAGATCGTTTGAATGTAGCCAATTGATTAGGTTGTGTAAAGTCTCATTAATAATGACATTGGATTTATTTCTATTTCGTCACACATTTTATTACCACGGTAGTGTCGTCTGCAAACATGTAACATTTATGTTGAGTTGCATTTGGTAAGAAGAAACCATGAATGCCATAAGATTCATCATTATAGCCTTGTAAGGGTCCACTGCTGAAAATAGGCTTCTGCCGTGGATTGCCTAATAGGGTGGATATTTGCTAAAGTTGTCACGATTGGCGGATGGGTTTTATTTTTATTTTCTTAGTTTTATGAGGAAGACGCTGCTGTCCGTATTTTTCTTATAAGATCGGTTGACAAACGAGCACACAGTCCACCTGATGGTAAGTGGTTGCTGTGGCACATAGACATCTACATCTATCCTCGATTACGAATCAATATGCGTTGTCGGCTGTGAGGACTAAAATACCCCCAACAAAAAAAAACAACAAAAAAAAAAAAAAACCTATTTTTGTTTTTTTTTTTTTTTTTTCTTTTCCTTGTTCCCTCGTTCCACCCTTAATTATATTTCAATTATTTTTTTAATCCCCTTTTTCTACTTTTTTTTTTAAAAATAAATGTATTTTTTTTTTTTTTTTGAAAACGGGGGCCAATTATAAAAAAAGTTATATCAAATAACTAGCCTTGATATTAGTAGTATAGTTGTAGCACGAATGGGTCGGCTCGACCGGGGAAGTACCACGCTCTCACAGAATACCAACGTAAAATAGTAGCTTAATTTTGCTGTGTTTCGTATGGTGAGTGTAGAGAACCGGAGACCGTTTTTACTGGTAACGAGACATTCTATTTTAGTCCTCACGAGTGACAACGCATTTGTATTTTGATTCGTAATCGAGGATAGATGTAGATGTCTATGTGCCACAGCAACCACTTACCATCAGGTGGACTGTGTGCTCGTTTTTCACCCTATCCTATAAAAAAAACTTATAAATGCAAACAAAATCCCACTTTGTTAAACTAACAAAGCAGGAAAACGGAAAACGGTTAACCGTTTTCTGGTTACGTACCCAATTGACGTCACACATTTTCCTCCACAATTGAGGAGAGTCGTTCATGATGCCTGCGTTGTTTATCACGACATCCAGTTTCCCAAACTTGACAAGGACTTCGTCAAAAGCCACAGCAATGCTTTGTTCGTCACTAACATCGCATTTAATGAATATTGCTCTTCCGGGGTAGGTATTGTTTAGTTCTTCTACGAACAATTTGCCTTTGTCTTCAGCTATATCCAAAATGGCTATTTGCTTGTAGGAAAAGATCTCAGATTAGCAATTGATAATTCCAGTTTTATTACAAAATAAATATATGTATCACATGATATGTGTTATCTTTCCGCAAAAATATAAATTAAAGCTTCTTACTTTCGCTCCTTCCTTCAGGAATTGTTCAGCGTAACCGGCGCCCAAGCCCGTAGCCGCGCCGGTGATCATAAATGTCTTCCCATTCACGTCCCACTTAGCCATTGTAATAAAACCTATCAAAACTAATGACTAAATGATATAACGTTTTCAAGCATGTCGGCCTTTATACGGTTTTTATGTTTATCAGCGTTTTGATAAATGAAAATAATTTACAGTTGATGAACGGATAAAAAAGATTACTTACAAATTACTTTGTATCGAAGATATTAACTCCTAGACATTTTTCGTCCCCATAGAGATATAGATGTTACCAAATATTTAATTCATATTAACAAAAACGCATTGAAGTTTTTATTACATATACATATAACAAGAGAAAAATCTAATGTTACTTTTACTCGGTCTTGTCACAAGGTTTTGTCAAACTTGTTTAGTCGTTGAGAAAATGGAATTGACTCGAGAAAATTCAAGAGCGATGATTTATTATGACTTTCAAAGTGGTTTAACACAAAAACAGTGTGTTGTATTGACCGGATGCTTTCTGCATTTTGTGATGAAGCCCCATCCAAAACCACAATTTATCGCTGGTTTGCTGAATTTCAACGTGGACGTATCAAGCTCAGTGATGATCCCCGTCAAGGTCGTTCAAAAACTGCAGTCACCCAAGAAAACGTTGATGCTGATGAAAAACCAGTCACGAGTTTGGGTGTTCGGAAATGAGTTAAAGCCAACAAAAATTGTTCGTTCACGGAGTGTTTCAAAAAAAAATGGTGGCCACGTTTGTCTCCAAAACCGGCCATGTTACGACTATTCCTCTTGAGGGACAAAGAACGGTTAATGCAGAATGGTATGCTAACATTTGTTTGCCACAGGTCGTTTCTGAACTCCGTAAAGAGAACTGCAACCGCCGCATCATCCTTCATCACGACAATGCGAGTTCTCACACCGCACACAGAACAAAAGAGTTTTTAGAGCAAGAAAACATAGAATTATTAGACCATCCATAGGTGTCGAGGTAGACCGAGACTAACTTTCGAAGACCATGTGAGCAAATTGCTCGAAGGGGGGAAGGTCAAGAGTACTCGGATACCTAGACGTGCATGTATGAAGAAGTTAATGAACCTGAAAGAAGCGAAAGAGGTATGTAAGGATCGTGACACTTGGCGATCTGTTCTCTCTGGCTACCCCGTTAGGGATTGTGCGTGAAGATAAGTAAGTAAAAGTAAGTAAATTAGACCATCCGCCGTACAACCCCGACCTAAGCCCTAATGATTTCTATACTTTCCCTAAAATAATGAATAAATTGCGTGGACAGAGATTTTCATCATTTGAAGAAGCTGTGGACGCCTACAAAACGGCCATTTTGGAGACCCCAACTTCCGAATGGAATGGTTGCTTCAATGATTGGTTCCATCGTATGGAAAAATGTGTCAAATTTCGCGGAGAATACTTCGAAAAGCAATAAATACATTTTTAAATAGTAATGTTGTGTCACTTCCTTGTTTCCCGAAATTTTCAGTGCCGCCCTCGTAATTGAAACGTTGTAAAATAGCGGGCGTCCGTTCGGAGGCAGAATTAGGATTTAAATTTTAAATAATAAAAACAACTACAAAGGATATAAATTTATTTCAATGACTATTAGAAAGAAGAGAAGCGTGGGTTTTATGTCTTAATAATTTTTCTGTCTAAATATTGACTGTTACCTCGGGCACACTCTTGGAATCCAACTACAGTATTCCGCGTCATTCGCTGGAGAAATAGCGTCGGGATGCCACTAACCTCGCGAACGATATTTTCTTTTAGTTCTGAGATGTTTGCTGGGTTTGTTTCATAGACTTTAGAGCTTAAAAAGTCCGTAAAAAAAGTCCATGATGAAGTTGCGTAAGTCCCGCCGCATGCATTTGGAGATCTGTCTATTCAGTTGCCTGTATGCTGTCAAATTTCCTGAAGAAAGCAGCTTCATTTCCCGTCTAACAGCCATGAGATTAAGAATGTGATCGGAGAGTTTTTTGTTCTTCTGCGGCGGGTCTTGTAGAACTTAGCTTCGACCGCATGGAGTTTCCACGAGATAGTCATTTATATCCTCCACTTCATTGCAGTCTTTTAGGCACTGAAAACGATTTTATAAATCGAGCTGAAAGTTTTCGGGACTCTGGATTTAGAGCACGAGAGGGACGGAGGGTTGACCTCCATTAGACTCACCATTCGGTGATCGCCGCCAGTTTTCACCTTCGCGATGTCTCAATGAAAAAACTGAAAGAATGTTGTCTTTAATTAATGTAATTGGTTTAACAGTTTTCAATAAAGTAAAAATAAATAAATAAATAATATCATTCCTCATGGCCTTCATTTTGTTTTTTTTTAATGAAATAAGCTACGTGTATAATAGGTCTCTACCGTTGTAGGGACGATTTACCTTAATCTTCAATACTTTGCAAGCAGATTGACGTATTTGTTTGTTTATCTTAATTCTTATTAATATTATAATGTGAAAGTAGGTATGAATGGATATTGAACCCCTATGTGCGGATATGTATGTTATAGGTAATTTATGTGTTATTTTATTTTTCAACTTATTTTTTTGTGGTTTACGAATGTCTATGTTCTTAGCTTAAGGTGTACCCTTAAGTCGCTTCTTCTTCCATACAAACGTAGTCCGGCGATTACTCCACTGTTTGATGGTGTACGTTCAAAATAAAAAATGATTTCAATTTGTCTCATCATTATCTAGCCCTTTATGGAAACAAAAAAGTAAAAAAGAGTATGTTTAAAAGTTATAAGCGTCGAAAATTCCGAATTTCAACACTAGTTTTAACACATCTTTGGGCGGAAATAAATACCATAAGAAGAACGAAAATTCCAAAACAGTTACCATACAGGGATAGATTAGTTGTTCAAAAATGCAAATAATTTTATTTTAAACAGTTACATTCAATAGATTTTTCATGACATCCAGACTACCAAAGGTCTGTTTATAAAATTTCGCGCGCCCGTTTTTGTTATGTCGCCTCTACACGTTGGCCAACACAGTGGCGAATGTAGTGGCGAATATATTGGCCGAGAGTTGGTGACGGCGTCCACACGTTGGAAGGTCGTTAGTTTACTTCGGTTCGGGCCAATGTGCGGACGAAGACGACGGCTCCGTGGCGCAGTGGCTTGGCAATGAGTGGCTGTGCCAGGGGTCGCGGGTTTGAATCCCGCACGGAACAAGTATTTGTATATCCTACAAATAATTGTTTCGGGTCTGGACGTGTGTCCTTGTGCAATTTATGTTTGTAAGTTGCCTCCGCGATACAGGAGAAAATCCAAGTGTGGGGGGGTAACGTTTTTATAAAATAATTATAAAAGAATAGTGAATATTAATGGGGCTGTAAATAGATATACGATATACGATTAGCTTTATTTATTCTTTACATGCATCAGAAACTGGAGTAAATACCATTAATTAGAACTTAACTTATTTTAAAGTTAAAGGAGTTATAATCGATTAGTCTATGTTTAAAAATTGGGTTTTGTTTTTAAAGTTTAGCAAAACATGTACTTGCTTTTCTATCAGACATTTGATGTATATAAAAAAACACCTTATAATTTATTTGGTAATTTAATTATTTTTTGAGAAAGACGTACTAATTATAACTTAGAACATAAATGAAAAACTCATGACAAGGAAAGTGGCTCAGGACCACGCTTTGCGGCATTCTTTGGAGGAGGATGTTCAGTAGTAGACTTTGGAAGAGCTGTAATGATGATGATGATGATTCAAAAACTTGCACGATTAAATTATAAGAAATCGACGCTTTTTTATATAGGATAGGGTGACAAACGAACACACAGTTCACCTGATGGTAAGTGGTTGCTGTGGCCCACAGACATCTACATCTATCCTCGATTACGAATCAAAATGCAGATGCATTGTCACCCGTGAGCACTGAGATGAAATGCCTCGTTTCCTTTAAAAAGTGTCTCTGGTTCTCTACACTCACCATACGAAGCACAGCATCAGTAAGCTACTATTTTACATTGATATTCTGTGAGAGCGTGGTCCTTCCCGGTCGAACCGACCCATTCGTGCTACAACTATACTTCTAAATTAACTGCATGGTTCTACCACGTATAAACGACGTGCTTAATTTTTTTCATTTTAAAATTGTTCTCGTAATAATCTGATTGTAAATAAATGTTCATTATTTTTTTTTATAAATAGCTTATCGATTAAAACAAATGTTTTAAAAATAATTAAATCGCGCTAATTAAAGTAGTAGGAATGTTTAAAGTTAAAATTGGCACTAAAAGGCTGGTAATTGGGTCATCCACCCTACAAAGCGTGAATATAAAATTTTTATCAGATGCGTGTAATCACTCTGGGAGCTTGTAGCAAACTAAACTCGCGGCCAACGTGTGGACACGGCGACCAAACTCTGCCAACAATCCTTTGATCTTTTGTAAAAAACCGACACCACACGGATCTCGCGCCAACTTGCGGGCCGTCGTTCCAATACATACCAATGAAGCCCAAACACCCCGTCTACACGTTGGCCAATGCTATTGGCCACTACATTCGCCACTGGGTTGCCAACGTGTAGAGGCGCCGTTATAAAACATCTTGTCTTTCGCTACAAATTGTTTCCCCGATCATTGGGACGGACGGAGGGGGGCGCAGCGCGCACCCACACATGCTCACTAGGTTAGCCGCTGCTATCTATTTATGGTTGTAATACCTAAATATCTACATCTTTATTTGGAAAAATTGCTTCCTTTTGTTCGTGTACATTGCTGAAGCCGGGATGAATATAGCTGGTAAAATGTGCCCATAAGTTTGTTGAAGCACATTTAGTTAAAATTGAAAACAGGTAGGTACATAATAATGAACTTTCGATACAGGTAGTGGTGCATTAGGTACTTAACTACTTAAATTTGCTAACCAACGAAAACATCTCATAGATAAGCACGATTATCGAAAATCTTAAAATTATCTATTAATTTAATTAGAATAGGTAATTTTTAGATTTTCGATAATCGTGCTTACGTATAGGAATCTCATATCCTAATGTACCTAATGTAATTTATGTAAGTACATAATAATCTAAGAAGGGCAGTCAATG